AAAGGAGGGGTGAGGAGAGAGAGAGAGGGGGGGGGGGCATCTGGTAATGATCTGTGTTTATTAGCAAGCTCTCATAGTAAATCTGTTGGCTTTCTGGCAGCTGTGGGAAGTGTATAAATTGTGATGCATGCATTTAGAGATGTCTCAATACCAGCCGTCAGGAATACATTACTCCATAAAGTTCTTAAAGAACTCGTTAGTCAAGCACTTGGGGACTGTTTTCAGTTTTCACATTTTTTTCCCCGCAATTTTGATCAAAAGAAGGTGTTTTAATAGTCCTAAAACTGGCAGGTGGGATTGAGATTACTGAATTATCTCACTTAGAAGTCATTATCTCCTCCCCTTGCCCCAGGACACAAACATAGGATGCTTCCTTAAAGGTTCAAGATTGAGGTCCACATGTAGAAAGAAATGCAAAAACACACATGCTTCCTAAAGCTGAGAGGTTCTGCATAATGTCTTGGGCACAGCCTGTTGGCAGACAGGATGTAGCACGAGTTTCCACAGGATCCTGATGTTCAGTGGAGAAGATTAGTAGCATTTCTGAGTCAGAGAGAAAGAAGGAATAGTGCTGAGTACACCCAGTGTCTCCAGATGACATTTTTTTATTTTTCAGTTTGTGGTTTTTAACATCTTGCAACATTTAACACACCACAGCATTCATCTCTGGGGTTGGTCTCCCTGTGAATGGCAAAGATTTTGGCTTGTTTGAGAGAGTATTATTCAAAAGCTACTATGCATAAGTGACTGTTGGTGAGATGAAACACAAGCATTGGAATAAGGGAGAAACAAGGGTAAGAAAACCAGGTTCTTCCTCTCCAGCGAAAAACACGAGTCAGCCCGGCACATATGGAAGAGATTAATCACTCTGTGCCTGTAATGATACAACTCAAGACTTTGTTTGCCTGAGGTCCAAGTTAACTTACAAGGCACTGGGAACAGTGGTGGTCCAGATCAAACTCTACTGTCAGCTAAATGGGGTAAAAGTGGCATCATACAAACAGATAGAAAAGTGAGGGCTTCTCTTTGTCATGGTTTAAACCAGTTCAGATAATGCTGGGCAGCAGTCAAAACATCAGGGAATTGCAGGCTAATGATTCCGAACCACATAAATAGTTAATGGCAGGAAATGGTCCTGACTAACTTCCACTGAATATGTCCCTCATCAATCTAGTCTCCTCAGACAGCTTCTTTATAGTCTCCAGTTGTTCCAGTCTGCAGCAAAGCACAGAGCATTTGATTGAGCCTATGTTTAATTTCAGTATGTAGGGTCATCATCAGCCAGCACTGCCTGGGAATAAAATGGTTAATGGTCTACTACTGCCATCTAGTGAAGCCTGAACTTATTCTGAGCAAATGTAACTTTCAGTACTGTCCACCCTTTCCACAGAACTCTTATATTTCCCTCTGTTAAATAAATTCAGTCAATATGCGTAAGCTATAACCAAGGTACTTTAATTTGAAATTCACAAAATTTGCAAACCATAGTGAGGGCTATGTCATGTTGAAATAAATGGTGTCACGATTTTAACTTTGCGCTCACAATAATTTGTCTTTCAGTATATTTACAGAACCAACATTTTCATTTCTATTACTTTTGAGGCCTTTCCAAAAATATATTTTCACCAATATTACAGCTTCTGAGCATACAGTATCTCACCTAAATAATATCCAGAAGAACATCCAAACATATTCATGCATAAGAAACTGATGTAAAAGCTCAAGTAGGGAACAAGGGGAAAGAATGGACCATTTGCTTGTGCTGATGATAAAGGAATGGTTTGACATTTTGTGGAATACACTTATTCACTTTCTTCCTGAGCTTGACAAATATACTGAAACCATTCTCGTATCTGTCCTTTCAATATGAAGCTACAGCCAAAAACTGGAAACAGCTAGCCTAACATATAACACGTGTTGTTTCTTTAATCCACACAAAAACTGAAGTGCAAAAATGTTTCTGTATGTGCCCAACCATTTCTTCCCGCAGCAGATTTGTAATTGTAATTGGACAGAACCAGGTTAGCAGTTTCCCTCTGCTTTCAGTCTCTGTGCTAAGCTAAACATCTGCTGGCTCCAGTTTATTAACAAACTAAATGAGAGTGATATGAACTTTCGGATACACTTATCAGCAACAAAGTGAATAAGTGCAATTCCCAAAATGTTTAACTATTCCTTTAAATGTTCACATCATCCTTTACTATTGGCTAATGTGACTACATTTGACATGACTTCACAGTTAAGAGGAAACTGAACTTTTGACCTCAATGTTTAACAGCAACTGTACAACATCATTTTATATTCCTCCATGTATTGCTTGGTTGGGTCATTGCAACTTCAGTAGCCCAACTGCCAAATGCAGGGTCTCAGTGTATGTGTAACATGTTATCCAAGATTCTGCTCAAGTTCAAGCCTGACTCAGTTCATGTTAGAGTGGCTTTTCAGGTGCCTCCTCAGGTGGTTCAGACAGGTGTACGTCTTGGGACAGATTTGGCAGTGGTATGGTCTCACCCCTGAGTGGTTCAGCATGTGCTGCTTCAGCACACTTCCATCTGAGAAGGCTTTCCCACACTGGGAGCACACGTATGGCCGCTCTCCTGTATGCACGCGCATGTGAACTGTTACCTTGTGTGCCATTGTAAAACCTTTGCCACACACTGTGCACTTGAATGGCCTTTCTCCTGTGTGGGTGAGCCTGTGGGTGCGCATTGCACCCATCTGGGAGAAAGCCTTGCCACAATCTGGGCAAACATGTGGCTTCTCGCCGGTGTGTACCCTGGTGTGACTCCTCAGTCCTCCTGCTGTGGAGAAACACTGTGAACAGTGAGTGCACTGGTAAGGCCGCTCTCCTGTGTGAGTGCGCATGTGCTGCTTCAAGTCGTAGCGGTTTCTGAAGCCGCGGCCACACACGAGACAGCTCTCTGGTCGGTCATCGTTGTGGCGCAGCTCGTGGTTGGCCAGGCATTTTTCAGACAGGAAACACTTGCCACATTCCTGACACTGATAGGGTTTCTCATGGTCAACTCTCTGATGGTATTTCAGCTCGCTGATGCCAGGAAAAGTCTCATCACAGTATCTGCACCTGAAGCGATGGTTGGGGCTGTAGGGGAGCTGGTGTTCACTCATCTGATGGTTCCTCAGCATGTGGGCCATCTTGAAGGTCTTTCCACAATGAGAACACTCGTACTTTGTCAGCAGCTGGACGCACTGATGTCTGGCCCGCTCGTGTAGAGACCTGAAATGACACCCACACTTGGTGCAAATGTGGGCAGCGTTTTTACACTTCCTCTTCCTGTGCCCGGACAGATGAGCTTCTGTGCGGAAAGATTTACCACACTGTGAGCATTTGTAAGGCTTCACCGCAGTGTGGAACCTCTGGTGCTCAAGAAATTCAAAGCGATACTTAAAACTCCTTCCACACAGTGGACAGTTATGTGTGACTCGTCCTCGTGGGTAGACAGTTTTGACTGATGTTTTTCTGGAGGACATAGATGTTGAGGAAGTCCGGTGAGCGGAGCCACTCTTCTTATGCTTACCTCCACTCATTAATTTGGCAGTTTCCATTTCTCCGACCTCTTCATGCCGTTGCTGATGTTTGACCAGACACTTGGAGGAGATAAAGCTCTTTTTACATTGGTTACACTGATAAGGCTTATCATGATCTACCTGCTGATGATACTTCAGGTCGCCAATTCCTGAAAAACCTACCCCACAATGACTGCACTTGAAAAGGCGGCTTTGGGCGTGAGTTAGCAGGTGTTCCTTCAAGCTGCTAGACTTTTGAAAACTCTTTCCGCAGTGCCCGCAATCGTAGTTACGGCCCCGTTTTGGGCAGTGGTGTCTGAATTTGTCCAGTGAGGTTGGAAAACTGTTCCCACATTTAATGCACAGATATGCAGCATTTTTGCACTTCCGTAGCCTGTGACCAGCCAGCAGAGTGGCTGTTCTGAAAGCCCTCCCGCACTCGGAGCAGTTGTAAGGCTGCAGCCCACTGTGGACTCTCTGGTGTTCAATGAGGACAGAGTGATGCTTGAAGCATTTGTCACACTCGGGGCATTTATGCATCCCTGACTGCTGTCTCCTGCGAGGAGATGATGAGATGTCAGTCCTTTTTGGCGATTCAGGAAAGTCAGTTGATGTGGAAGGGTTTGTTGACAGTTCTTCATCGAACATAACAATCTGAGGAACGTCATTATTTTCATCATCACAAGCACTCGGGTGGGACGCGATGGCCACTTCCAGCGATGGAGGGAGACACAGGGAGGGAATGAGAAGATCATCTGATTGAAAAGGAGCTGCAGGGAAAAATAAGAGGAGAAAGTAACAACAAAGTGTTAATACAATATTCTCCCTCTTCCTCAACTAATGTGCTATATATTGTCTAGTTTATAGAAGATGTACATTGTGTACATACCAACACTACTCTTAGCCAATTTCCCGTGGCACTGTTTGCTTTGGAGAAGAAATTTAAGGTCATCTCCGTTTGAGACACACTGCATGTACTCCTCTAGGACAGAGGGGGCAGCACTGATCCAGGATGCAGTCTACACAAGTGAGGCACAAAAAAGAGAGACATTTTGAATTTCAGAAAATTGTGATATTTATTTACATTATATTCAAATTTTTAAGAAATCCTCTTGGCACCTGTTTGAAATCTGGTATTGGCAGAAGCTCCTCCAGTCTGGTGAAGAATTCACAAACCAGAGTCTCCAGTGCTGTGTCGAAGTCTGGGCCGTACTCCACTGGAAACACATTCTTTCAGATGGAAAGAACAAACAGACACCTTCAGAACATGGCATCATCCTATCCTATAATTAGACATATCATGTCTCACATTGTGTTAGGTAAAATCATGATAAAGAAATGGATTTATAATATT